TGGCAGACCAACACGGCTACCTATCTGTATCCTGCTTGGAGTGATAGATTCATGTCTCTTTTTCCCCCTGGAATGCCTTTTCATACAAGGAAACAGTTGCCCATGTCTGCATGAATGCCCTGGACACCAGTGGTGCAGTGGGGGGGGGCCCACAGGGGCTGTTGCCCCGGGAGCACAATTGTTAGGGGCGCAAAATTTCAACACTTGGTGCTGCCTCAATACAGCGGCGCCCTTCTGTCGCTGGGCTCTGTTAAACACAGATTCTCTGTGCAAACCAAGAAGGGACCTGTCCAGACAGCAGAATGGCTCTTCTTAACTCTGTGTCTGCAATCCCCCGGATGATACCGACTTGAATGCGCATGAATACTCCATCCATCACCCTCACCCTCCCTCCGCACAGCCCAAGGTGCTGGCAACCCACACAGCTTCACCTCTTCTTCTTTCCTCTCGGCTGCCATCTTAACTGGACAGCACCTGCGCTATGGAACTCCCTGCCTCTTGACTCTACTCTTTTTGATGCATGCTGAAAATTTTAAACTTTTTAAAAACAAGCCAGCCCAGATGTTTCAAACGTTTGTGTGTTTTCGTATAGTTTTTAGTTTTTATCAGTTTTATGCTTCAAATATTTTTAAAAGTTTGGGGGTTTGCAGATTTTACTAACAATCTTATTGTTTTCTTTTCTTTGTCAACTGCTTTGGGGTTTTTTTTTACAATTACCGTATTTTTTGCTCTATAAGACTCACTTTTCCCCTCCTAAAAAGTAAGGGGAAATGTGTGTGCGTCTTATGGAGCGAATGCAGGCTGCGCAGCTATCCCAAAAGCCAGAACAGCAAGAGGGATCGCTGCTTTCACTGCGCAGTGATCCCTCTTGCTGTTCTGGCTTCTGGGATTCAGAATATTTTTTCCCTTGTTTTCCTCCTCCAAAAACTAGGTGCGTCTTGTGGTCTGGTGCGTCTTATAGAGCGAAAAATGCGGTAAGTGGTGCATAAATGTTAGGAAATAAATCAATAAATATTCTGTCTTAAAATATTGCAGTTGCTTTTACCCTGGCCTCATTTGGGGTGAGAGACACTCCTCTTTTCTGCTTTTCTTTTTATAGGAAGTGATAAATGCTGAGTTCATGCAGCGCTCAGAGACGGTGGCCCAATTTCTTCTGAAAACGACTGAAATATCCACAGGTATTGGGAAATGGCTGCTTCTATCACTCCTTTACGTTTCGGGGTATTCAAGAACACACACACGTTCCACAGAATAACATAGCAGGTGTTCTGTCTGGAGATTCCTCTCTCTTTCTGGATAGTATTAACAAAACTCCACAAAGCCTTCATACATAGATTTATTGAAGATAATCAAGGCAGATGTAGAAATATTGCTCACATTCCGATAGGCTGTTCTATGGCCTTGAATGAAGATGGCTAGAAGCTTTTCATGAAGTTCTCTGTGGAGCTCTGCAAGGAGCGATCCCGCTTGCTGTCCTGGCTTCTGGCTTAGCGCGTGGCTCCACCTCCTGCAAAAGCCCCCAAGAGCCGCACACACCCTCCGTGCGCTCTTTAAAGGGAGCGCAGCTCTTGGGGGAGCCTTAGCCGTGCGCAGCCTCTCCCAGGCAGGGGATGAAGGCTCCCCTTGCCCGGGAGAGGCTGCGCGCGGATATCCCATAAGCCAGGACAGCCAGCGGGAACGCTGCACAGTGATCCCGCTGGCTGTCCTGGCTTATGAGATTCCGAATTTTTTAATTTCTGTTTTCCTCTTCCCAAAACTCGGTGAATCTTATGGACTGGCGCGTCTTATAGAGCAAAAAATACGGTTGTCAAAGCTGCCTCAGGTCCCAGCTCACAGAGGACCAACGCCAGTCCGTTGTTATATTAAATAGTCTTTATTAAAGTTCAGTCTCTCATTTACAGCCACGGCGCGCAGCTCTACGTCTTGAACCTAGACCGCCGAAGCTCCGTCTGAGTCTCCTCCCCCCAGACACCAGTTCAAGACCCTAGCCGTGCTCCACCTCTTCCTCTGCTCCCTTTTCCTCTGGGTCCGCCTGTCCGTTGGGGCTTTCCCCTTTCTAGACTCTTCCAACGCTGACTCTCCCGAGTCCTCCCCCTCCCTCCGGCGAGCTTTAGGACCTGGTTCCCAATCCTGGCTTCCTGCTGTCCCGCTCGCCTGCACATTTGAACTTGGCGCGCGCGCCCAGCCTGCCACCTTCCTTCTGACCGTTATGCTGCTCCTGTCACTGCTCCCCTCTTCGGGAACGCTAGCTGGGCTTGACTCCTCCTCCCTGCTTGCTGGGGGAGACGCTGGCCCTGACCTATGGGACTCTTCCCCCCCACTACGCTCCGGTGGGGAAACTGGTCCTGATTTCCAGCTACTGCTCTGGGAATCTCCGCTGGCCCCCTGCTTCTGGTGTGTCCCCCCTGGGACCCCCCTTGCCCTGGCCATCGGCGCCCCCCTCTGGGAATCTTCTGATTCACTGGAGAGGCTCATGGAATCTCTCGGGTCACTGTCATTCTGCCCTCCGCTGCCCTCAGATTCCTCCCCTTCGCTCTCCATTTCCTCTCTCCCCTGCGCCTCTGCTCCTGAGCCCCTGACAACGGTATATCAACTTTTCTCAACTGACACGTTGAGTGAGCTCTGCCCTATTGCCATAGCTATAATAAACACTGGGTCCCTAAATCTGGACGCTGGACTTGGAAATAGTTTCCTTGGTTCTGTAGTTTATTCAAAAAGTGGTTGTTCCGGCTTGATGGGAGAGGAAATGGAAAAAATAGACCAAAGATTATTTATGTATGCTATGACTGCTGCTAGAACCTTGTTAGCCCAAAAATGGAAAGTACAGGAGCTAGCAAGAGTGGAGGAGTGGCAGACGAAGGTGGTCGAATTAGCGGAATTGTGGAATTAGGAAAACTGACCTACAGGATCCGCATCCAGGAGGAAACAAAGTTCCGAAGAGAGTGGAGTAAACTTGTGGAGTATATAAGTAATAACTGTAGAAGTCTGAAGACTCTAGTAGGACTGAAATAAATCTTATGACGTGGTTATTATTATTATTAAGAAACTGTGGAAAGGGAATTGGAGTAAGAGAACCTGCTGGAGGGAGGGAGGGAAGTCAGTGCTTGGCAGAGCATTGAGAAGGAAAGTGGGTATATGACTATGGAACATTATTGTATTTGCTTTGTTTATGTGAAATGAAAAATCAATAAAAAGCATTTGAAAAAACAAAAACAAAAGGTGGTTGTTCCTCACCTGGGAAACGAACAACATGGCGTAGAGGTGAATTCTTACCACACCTTGGGTTCCATGACAGAAGAAAGATGGAATGTGTTAGGGAAAAACAGAATGTATTTCTGTCTTCTTCTTCCCAGTATAAGCTGTGCCATCAATTTAAGCCACTTATATATCCAATAAAGGGATGCGGGTGGCGCTGTGGGTTAAACCACAGAGCCTAGGGCTTGCCGATCAGAAGGTCGGCGGTTCGAATCCCGGCGACGGGGTGAGCTCCCGTTGTTCAGTCCCTGCTCCTGCCAACCTAGCAGTTCAAAAGCACGTCAAAGTGCAAGTAGATAAATAGGTACCGCTCCAGCGGGAAGGTAAACGGCGTTTCCCTGCGCTGCTCTGGTTCGCCAGAAGCGGCTTAGTCCTGCTGGCCACATGACCCAGAAACTGTGCACTGGCTCCCTCAGCCAATAAAGCAGGATGAGCGCCGCAACCCCAGAGTCGTCCGCGACTGGACCTAATGGTCAGGGGTCCCTTTACCTTTTTATATATCCAATAAAGCAGAATGTGAGACAATTCAGGATAGAAGGAAGGACTTATTCAGGCAGAGCAAACTGTGGAACTCCCTTTCACAAGAGGCAGGGAGGGCCACTAAGTGAGACAGCTTTAAAAGAAACTGATAAAATTTACAGAGAAGCAGGTTATCAACGGCTACTAGGCCAGATGTCTACGCTCTGAATCCACCGTTGGAGGCAGTAAATGCTTTCAAATGCCAGTGGCCAGAAGGCACAGAAGGGGAGATCCCCCTTCCAGGCTAGGATTCCTCAAGGCAACCTGCTTACTGAGTATTCACCCTCATTTTTATTATTATTATTATTATTATTATTATTATTATTATTATTATTAATTGAATTTATATACTGCCTGTCAACGAACAGCCATCAGCTCAGAGGCAAGAGTTGGAAGGGCGGCTGTGTTACAGGGAACCTCCGAAAGTCTTGCAAAGCAGTTCCTCCTCTGGCCAGGAGGAAAGCCCCACCTCCAGTGGGGAGGAGGTGTGGGTCCAGGGGATGCTAGGGAGAGCCTCAACACCGACCCTGAGCAAGCCAGAGAGGAGGGAGGTATCCCTTTGGCTAGCGCCCACCCTGCGCAGTAGGTTTCGGCGCAGGGAGGGGAGGAGAAGGTTGGGGGTCAAGTGACCGTTATGCTGGGGGAGGTACAAGGACCGCCCACTCCCAGATTCTGCTAGCGACTGAGCCAGACATGAACTTGCTCTTCACTGTAAATAGTTTTGCACTAAGAATAAAGCCCGGAAAAGACAGGTCGGAGTCTTGCCTGTTTGCTCTCGAGCAACCACACCACCACCTGACACCACCCTATCCCTGGAGGTCACAGGGTGTGTTTTTGTGTACATTTCTCATCACTTTCCTAACCACAAAAGGCTTATTAAAAGTTGATTTGTTGCGCTTGGGCAACAGAGTGCTTTTAACTTTGCAGACCTCAGTAAATGCCCAGTCCGCTCTTGAATCCCTTCTGCAGAAACCCCACTGACTGGGCCTTGGTTCCACTTTGTCTGCCCCAGGCTTGCAGGGAAGTTAAATGATGTTGCACCAAGCAAGGGTTCTCCCACGCTCCACACCATTTCCCCACCACTTCCCTTCCTGCAAAAAGACAAACTTTTCTTGGGAGGGCAGTAGCACCAAATCCGCTCGTTTTACAACCAGGGTTTTCTGGCACAGGACTGAATCCCACCCCAAAATGGCGGCAAAGGCCCCCAGTGACAGTCCGGAGGCGGCTCTGGTTCATCATGGGGGCTTTAATAGACCCTCAGCTATCCCACCCCCCTCCGTTCACAGAGGGAATTGTCTCGGGTCTACATCAGGGCTCAAAGTGCAGGCAGAAGGTGACTTTGGGGGCCTTGACACCTGCCCCACTGCTCATTCTGCTCACCCCAGAGACACCCCACTGCCGCCCCTTCTCTGCCACCCACCCTCTTGTTCATCTAGAGGGCAGAGAAGCCAGACTGGGAAGCTGTGAAGGCTCTTCTCTCTGAGGAGGCATGGCAGAGATGGCATCGTGAGCCAAGGGATTACCAGGTCCCTGGGAGCCGAGACAGGGTTGTGCCCATTCCCCTTCCCAGTACACCGAGGCCTTGTCTATGGGAACGAGCTATTAAGAGGGGCTCTGAAGTGCGGCAGAGGCTGCTCTCTGGAGAGCAGAGTTGATCCCAGTTCCAGACCGTGCCTTCTGGGCCGGGAGTCCCACTGGCAGTGGCATGAAGGCAGGGAGGAGATTTGGGCAAGAGCCCCCACCCTAATGCCCCTGCTTCTCTGCGGTCTTCTGGCTGCTGCCCAGCAGCTGGAGCTGAGAATATTCCTGGGTGAATTTGGCGTGGAACTGGCTTATCTTCTGCAAGACAACCTTCAGCTTCTCCAGAGGCGGCAGGATGGTCATTCTGGGGCAGAGCGAGAAAGGAGAGGTTCAGAGAAGAAGAAGAGTTAGAAGAGGAGTTTGGATTTGATACAGTAGTGCCTCGCAAGACGAAATTAATTCGTTCCGCGAGTTTTGTCGTCTTGCGATTTTTTTTGTCTTGCGAAGCACGGTTTCGGGAAAGTTTAGGGAAAGCTTCAAAAATCACCAAAGTCTTTAAAAACCTAAAAAAAGGCTACCACACCGCGTGCTATGAGTTGCTCCTCGAAGTCAAGTCGCAACTGTATTAACGGTGTTAAGAAAAAGGAAACAAACTTGCAAGACGTTTCCATCTTGCGAAGCAAGCCCACAGGGAAAATCGTCTGGCGAAGCAGCTCAAAAAACAAAAAACCCTTTCGTCTTGCCAGTTTTCCGTCTTGCGAGGCATTCGTCTTGCGAGGTACCACTGTATCCCGCTTTATCGCTACCCAAAGGAGTCTCAAAAGCGGCTAACATTCTCCTTCCACCCCCACAACAGACACCTTGTGAGGTGAGTGGGGCTGAGAGACTTCAGAGAAGTGGGACTGGCCCAAGGTCACCCAGCAGCTGCATGCAGGCCCAGACCGGGGGGTGGGGGCATATGGGCCACTTGGCCCGGGCCTCCAGTTCCAAAGGGGGCCTCAGTCAGCCTATTTATCTATATTTTCCATTTTGTCTTTATATGCAGATACAGTTCACATCTTAAAATAAAATGATTTGTCAGCATAACTTTTGTGAAAATTATTTATGTATGAAATATACTCGGAGTCGAGAGTGGATTTCATGCTCTTTATTCAGCTCATAGTGGTGAGGAGGAATGGAAGTTCCCCCGGAATGTCTGCTTTATATACATTATTTACACGATTGGCTCCACGTGACTGGCTAATTCTGGGATTCTCCTGTAGGCCAATCAGGTTGCAGATTCACTTCCACCTGGAGCTGGATTGGGTGGCTCCTGTGGGCCAATCATACTGCTGCATTCTGGATCCTATTGTTCTAGGACCAATCATACTGCTGCATTCTGGATCCTATTGTTCTAGGACCAATCATACTGCTGCATTCTGGATCCTATTGTTCTAGGACCAATCAGACTGCTGCATTCTGGATCCTATTGTTCTAGGACCAATCAGACTGCTGCATTCTGGATCCTATTGTTCTAGGACCAATCAGACTGCTGCATTCTGGATCCTATTGTTCTAGGACCAATCAGACTGCTGCATTCTGGATCCTATTGTTCTAGGACCAATCAGACTGCTGCATTCTGGATCCTATTGTTCTAGGACCAATCAGACTGCTGCATTCTGGATCCTATTGTTCTAGGACCGATCAGACTGCTGCATTTTGGATCCTATTGTTCTAGGACCGATCAGACTGCTGCATTCTGGATCCTATTGTTCTAGGACCGATCAGACTGCTGCATTCTGGATCCTATTGTTCTAGGACCAATCAGACTGCTGCATTCTGGATCCTATTGTTCTAGGACCGATCAGACTGCTGCATTCTGGATCCTACTGTTCTAGGGCCAATCAGACTGCTGCATTCTGGATCCTATTGTTCTAGGACCAATCAGACTGCTGCATTCTGGATCCTATTGTTCTAGGACCAATCAGACTGCTGCATTCTGGATCCTACTGTTCTAGGACCAATCAGACTGCTGCATTCTGGATCCTATTGTCTAGGACCAATCAGACTGCTGCGTTCTGGATCCTATTGTTCTAGGACCAATCAGACTGCTGCATTCTGGATCCTACTGTTCTAGGGCCAATCAGACTGCTGCATTCTGGATCCTATTGTTCTAGGACCAATCAGACTGCTGCATTCTGGATCCTATTGTTCTAGGACCAATCAGACTGCTGCATTCTGGATCCTACTGTTCTAGGGCCAATCAGACTGCTGCATTCTGGATCCTATTGTTCTAGGACCAATCAGACTGCTGCATTCTGGATCCTATTGTTCTAGGACCGATCAGACTGCTGCATTCTGGATCCTATTGTTCTAGGACCGATCAGACTGCTGCATTCTGGATCCTATTGTTCTAGGACCGATCAGACTGCTGCATTCTGGATCCTATTGTTCTAGGACCAATCAGACTGCTGCATTCTGGATCCTATTGTTCTAGGACCAATCAGACTGCTGCATTCTGGATCCTATTGTTCTAGGACCAATCAGACTGCTGCATTCTGGATCCTATTGTTCTAGGACCAATCAGACTGCTGCATTCTGGATCCTATCGTTCTAGGACCAATCAGACTGCTGCATTTTGGATCCTTTTCAACTCAGTACATAACAATATACTTACTTATTTATAGGACTTCAGTTATCCCCAAGGTAAAAAGGGGGGGCACATTATCTACCTGGCCTGGGCCTCTGCCTGGCTCTGCAAGGCCCTGGCTGCATGTGGAGGAGCAGGGAAGTTCTTAACCACTACACCACACTGGCTCATGAGAGTGCAGAGCTGGAAAAGACGCAAGGAGCACAGTGTCCACCCATTCCCAGACAAAGGCAACCCTCTCTTTCTCATGTGCAAGCAAGACTGGGACCCTGTCAGCAGGACCTGAGCACTGGAGCCTTCCAGCAACTGGGACTCAGAAGCCTGGCTGTCTCTGACTATGGAGGCAGAACATTGCCATCAGGGCTCATAGCCACCAGTCGCCCTCTCCTCCTCCTCCATGAATGTGTCGAATCCTCTTTCAAAGGAGGGGACCAGGTGCGCAGCCTGGGTGTCATTCTGGTCTCACAGCTGTCCATGGAGGCGCAGGTCAATTCTGTGTCCAGGGCAGCGGTTTACCAGCTCCACCTGGTACGCAGGATGAGACCCTCCCTGCCTGCAGACTGTCTGGCCAGAGTGGTGCATGCTCTGGTTATCTCCTGCTTGGACTACTGCAATGCGCTCTACGTGGGGCTACCTTTGAAGATGACCCGGAAACTACAACTAATCCAGAATGCGGCAGCTAGACTGGTGACTGGGAGCAGCAGCCGAGATCACATTACACCGGTCTTGAAAGACCTACATTGGCTCCCAGTAGGTTTCTGAGCACAATTCAAAGTGTTGGTGCTGACCTTTAAAGCCCTAAACGGCCTCGGCCCAGTATACCTGAAGGAGCGTCTCCACCCCCATCATCCATCCTGGACACTGAGGTCCATCTCCAAGGGCCTTCTGGCGGTTCCCTCACTGTGAGAAGCAAAGCTACAGGGAACCAGGCAGAGGGCCTTCTCAGTAGTGGTGCCCGCCCTGTGGAACGCCCTCCCACCAGATTTGTAAGAATATTAAAATACAATAGTCTATTAAACATTAAAAGCTTCCCTAAAGAGGACTGTCTTCAGATGTCTTCTAAACGTCAGGCAGTTGTTTATTTCTTTGACATCTGAAGGAAGGGCGTTCCACAGGGCAGGTGCCACCACCAAGAAGGCCCTCTGCCTGGTTTCCTGTAACTTAGCTTCTCGCAGGGAGAGAACCACCAGAAGGCCCTCGGCACTGGACCTCAGTGTCCAGGCTGAACGATGAGGGTGAGAGCCTGCAAGCCCACCTGGGGTCCCAGGAGTGGAGAGAGACCACAGGGAGCCAAGAGGGTCTTTACCTGAAGTGAAAGGTCCCTTCCTTCTGGCCAAAGCCACTCCCTGGCACGACACAGATACCCGTCTCCTCCAGAAGTTTCAGGCAGAAGAACATGTCTGGCACCTGGCCCAGGGCCTGGGAGAAGGGAAGGGGGAGACAAGAGCTAGTGGCATGGAGATGCTTTGGGGGGGGGGCTGGGAGATGGGAGCCAGTCCATGTTCTGGAGAGGTGGGAATGGGATGCTACCCGCTTGGAAGCTGGTGGAGCTCAGTGCTCTGGAGATGGGCAGCCAAGTTCTGGAAGGGGAGTCCCAGGCAGGACAAAGTATCAAAGACACACAACTTCCCAAAAGGTACCTGGTCAACCCAAGCCCAGGGTGAGGCTCATGGAACAACAAGAAGAAATGTCTCCAGGCCTCTCCTGTGGAAATCTCTGCCCCTAGAGATTCAGCAGACATCTTCTATTCTGCCAGGCCTGGGCTGGCAATTGAGAAGCCACCCTGCCACAACTCTTAAATGATGCATGGTTTAACTTCTTTCTGGTTTTATTGCATGGATTTATGTTTTTATTGCTGCCAACCGCTTTGATATACCTTTTAAAGTGATGCAACGATATGCAAATATTTGCATGAATAGATAAATGTGACGAAAGCAATGAAACGTTTTGTGGCAAAGAGATCATTCCAGCTGGAGAGGCCGGGGCTCAAACTTGCAGCTCTCTTCTGCACGCCTAGCATCTGTCCTGCCCCTGAGTCCTGGCCCCTCCCTGGAAAGAGGATCCTGAAGCCCCAGGTGGAGGTGTGGCCTTACCTGTGCCTCTTGCACAGCCTGGGGTGGGAGATGAATTCGGGGGAAGGCATACATGGCCCCCTGCACGGGGTTGCAGCGGATCCCGGGCGCTCGATTGAAGGTCTCTTCCGTGAGCTGCGCCTTCTGGGCCAGAGAGCTCAGCACGGCCTGCTTTTCCTGCATTGTGAGGAGGAAGAGAGACCCTCCAGGTCAGAGGGTGGAGGAAAGGAACCAGGAAGGGGCCATGAATGGCCACGATTCATCTCTCACCCCTACAGGCCCAAATAGGGACACAGGTGGCACTGTGGTCTAAACCAGTGACGGAGGAACTCTCTTTGGTACCTGGGGCAGGACACACCGCCCAGTGGCGCACACACGACGTCTATACGGAGTGCGCATGCGCGGCAGCCTGTACAGTCGCCGTGTGAGAGGCAGCCTATACAGACTCCCGTATGGACACTGCGCGAGCGCACTGACTGCACACGCCCTTGGATGCTCCACAGCTGGGGGGAGGCAGGGGCCATCTTGTCACACACACACCTCCAGTGGCAGCTGGGGCGACCTGCCCCCTCCACCCCCCACTATGTACGCCCCTAGCCTAAACCACTTTCTTGGGCTCCATGATCACTGTAGATGGTGACAGCAGCCACGAAATTAAAAGACGCCTGCTTCTTGGGAGAAAAGCAATGACAAATCTAGACAGCATCTCAAAAAGCAGAGACATCACCTTGCCAACAAAGGTCCGTATAGTTCAAGCTATGGTATTCCCAGTAGTGATGTATGGAAGTGAGAGCTGGACCATCAAGAAGGCTGATCGCCGAAGAATGGATGCTTTTGAATTCTGGTGCTGGAGGAGACTCTGGAGAGTCCCATGGACTGCAAGAAGATCAAACCTCTCCATTCTGAAGGAAATCAGCCCTGAGTGCTCCCTGGAAGGACAGATCCTGAAGCTGAGGCTCCAAGACTTTGCCCACCTCATGAGAAGAGATGACTCCCTGGAAAATACCCTGATGTTGGGAAAGATGGAGGGCGCAAGGAGAAGGGGACGACAGAGGCCGAGATGGTGGGACAGTGTTCTCGAAGCTACCAGCATGAGTTTGACGAAACTGCGGGAGGCAGTGGAAGACAGGAGTGCCTGGGAAAGATGGAGGGCACAAGGAGAAGGGGACGACAGAGGACAAGATGGTGGGACAGTGTTCTCAAAGCTACGAACATGAGTTTGACCAAACTGCGGGAGGCAGTGGAAGACAGGAGGGCCTGGCGTGCTCTGGTCCAGGGGGTCACGAAGAGTCGGACACGACTAAACGACTAAACAACAATTTGTTATTGGCGGTGATCCCAAAATTCCCCAGTTCCTCTCAATGCACCGCCAGCCCCCGTTTTCCTCACCTGGCTGAACTGTTGGTAGGAAGGGTCTCCAGGCTGAGGCTGATTCACAACGACATCCAAGAGGACCTGCCCAGTCACTGGCGGGCAGAGGCGCACAGAGACGAGCTTGCTCAGCTGCTGCTGCACTAAGGGGTCCATGTTAATCACCTCCATGTAACCACCTCGGAAGCCGCACCTGACAAGATAAGGAAGTGGGCAAAACTGTGCAGTAAGATTGGCCAGACCCTAAATATTAAAATATCCACCCGACTCTTCCTGGCTGCATTAGGCATATTAGGCAGGAGATTTTAAGCCAGGGAAGAAGCCAGACTCTCCCCTCTTTCCATGTTACGGAAGAGGCTATCCCCCAGGCAGTGCGGCAGAAGAGGCTACTCACTCGCCCATGAAGCCCTTGGAGATGGAGTGGAAGGAGGCCAGCTCCACGCTGCCAGAGTACTTGGGCCCCATCTCAAAGAGCACCTTCTTGAAGGAGTGGAACTGGGATCCCTCGGCGTAAATGTTGTCCTGGTAGACCTTGGGGGTTGGAAGGGGCACAGGGTTGGCGCGCAAGCATCAATAATAATAATAATAATAATAATAATAATAATTTATTTATACCCTGCCCATCTGGCTGGGTTTCCCCAGCCACTCTGGGCGGCTTCCAACAGAACACTAAAATACAATAACCTATTAAGCATTAAAAGCTTCCCTAAACAGGGATGCCTTCAGATGTCTTCTAAATGTCTGGTAGTTTTTCTCTTTGACATCTGGTGGGAGGGCGTTCCACAGGGCGGGTGCCACCACCGAGAAGGCCCTCTGTCTGGTTCCCTGTAACTTGGCTTCTCGCAATGAGGGAACCGCCAGAAGGCCCTCGGCGCTGGACCTCAGTGTCCTGGCAGAACGAATGGGGGTGGAGACGCTCCTTCAGGTATACTGGGTCAAGGCGGTTTGGGGCTTTGAAGGTCAGCACCAACACTTTGAATTGTGCTCGGAAACGTACTGGGAACCAATGTAGGTCTTTCAAGACTGGTGTTATATGGTCTCGGCAGCCGCTCCCAGTCACCAGTCTGGCTGCCGCATTCTGGATTAGTTGTTTCCGGGTCACCTTCAAAGGTAGCCCCACGAAGAGCGCATTGCAGTAGTCCAAGCGGAAGATAACCAGAGCATCACTGTGGTGAGACAGTCCGCGGGCAGGTAGGGTCTCATCCTGCGTACCAGATGGAGCTGGTCGACAGCTGCCCTGGACACAGAATTGACCTGCATCTCCATGGACAGCTGTGAGTCCAAAAGGACTCCAAGACTGCGCACCTGGTCCTTCAGGGGCACAGTTACCCCATTCAGGACCAGGGAGTCCTCCACACCAGCCCCCCCCCCCGTTTTGCTCATTGTTTGAATATTGTTAATGTCATTTGCTGCCATTTATGGGGCTGGTGGCTCGCTCTTGTTTTCCCGTAAGTTGTATGTTATATGAAATAGCAATGTGTTATATGATTCCTCCCAGTTCTGTTCCCCCATGTTATCATGTTTACAAATATATTTTTCTTGGAGACCTTTGGGGGACAAGCAACTACTATGTTAAATAAGTAAGTGAGTGAGTAAGTAAATGAGGCCGAGGGGCCAAGAGGAAAAGGGGAGGGGGTCTCTAAGGCACTGGCACAGTTTCCAGGACATCTTGGAGCAAAGAGTCTTGAGGAACCAGAGTACAGATCTTCTGCCTTGGCCTCTCTCATTCCAGCCCATTTCCCAGAAGAGAGACCACCTGACCTTGGCCCAATGAGTCAATGGAGCAAGAGGGATGCACAAGAACATGAGAAGGGTCCACCTAGTCTACCATCCTGTCCTCCCAGTGCCTCTGTTGGGAAAACCGCAAGTGGGACCAGCAACTGGTGTCCAGAAGCACCGCTGCCTTCGATTGTGCAGGGTCCCAAAGTCTCACCTCATCAGCCAGGAGGAAGAGCTGTTCCTCCCAGGCGAAGCGGATGACGTCTTCGATGCGCTGGCGACTCTGGACCTGCCCTGAGGCGGGAGAAGTGGAGACAAAGAGAGGTTTGCAGGAGATGCGCTTCTGCCCTCCACTGGGCGCCATACTGTGATAGGAATTTTGAGGTCTCAGATATATGTTAAATGTTCATAAGTGTACCAACCAACACGTACATAGATCAGCACAGGAAGACCAACCTGGAACCATTTTTGATTCCCAAATGTTTTCTCTGCAAGGTCAAAGAAAAAAGGAAAGCCTCCCCATTGTCTTTTCCTTCACAAATCGTGTCTTAAGGGCACATTTAAGAGATGAATAGTGTGTGAGCCTGTGACCTGGCTCAGGAACTAAGTATTTATCATTACAAAAGACTGTCCAGGCTCCCCAGGCAATCCAAGTGACCATTAAACAGGTACCCTGTCAGACAAGATAAACAATGCACTCAGATTTCTGCTGTAGACCACCTTTTCTGTGATGTAGGTATGATGTATCTGGGGGTGGTCTTGGGTTACACCCTTTCTGTGATGCATGTATGATGTATGGAGGTGTGGTCTTGAGCTCCAGGGCAGGGAATTTAAAATATCTATATAAGGCCTTGTGCGCCATTGTTCTGGGTTCCTCCTCCCTCCTGCGTGTGGTGAGTGAGGACCCTGTTGCAACAGATCAATAAAGATCAGGCTTACTAGCAATATTCTCTGGTTGGCCTCTGTTATTTTCTCCTACCGACAGGGAACCTGCGTAAGGACTCTATATGGGCTCTTGGATACCCCATATGGGGAAAAGGGCAGATTTTTGTTTACAACAATAGCGCCCAAGGCTGCCCCTGCAGCTGGGGTACCCTGAGCTTGGGGGACCTACCAGTGGGGTTCCCCGGGTTGATGATGCAGAGGGCACGGGGCTGGCAGTGCTGGCGAGCCTCTTTCAGGGCCCTCCGCAGCTCCCCAATGTCCAGGGCCCAGCATTTGTCCTCGTCCAGGTAGTAGTTGATCTGCACGGCGTTGAGTTCGGCCAAAGCGGCGGAGTAAAGCGGGTATTGGGGGATGGGGATCATCACCCCCGTACGGGAGCGCCCCTCTCCTGAGACCAGCAGCTTCAGGATCGTCTAAGGGGCAGACCAAGAGGGAGCCTCAGCAGCGGTGGTGGTGGTGGTGGGGTTAATGGAGCAGCCCCAATCCTGCAACCAAACCTCGCCACCCCACTTCATGCCCTCGCTCACTCTCTAGCCCCAAGCAAGAGCTGCGCCCCCCCCCCATACCACAATCGCATCACTGGCGCCTGTGGACAGGAAGATGTTTTCCGCCCTGGAGGGGATTCCGCCATCCCGGCGCTCAATGAAGTGAGCCACATCCTGGCGTATGAGCTCAATGCCAGGGCTGGCACTGTAGGCACCTGAAGGTGGGAGGGAGAGGAGGAGAGAAGGAACTTGTTATGTACTGAGTTGAATAGGATCCAAAGGGCAGCAGTCTGATTGGTCCTAGAACAATAGGGTCCAGAATGCAGCAGTCTGATTGGTCCTAGAACAATAGGGTCCAGAATGCAGCAGTCTGATTGGTCCTAGAACAATAGGGTCCAGAATGCAGCAGTCTGGTTGGTCCTAGAACAATAGGGTCCAGAATGCAGCAGTCTGATTGGTCCTAGAACAATAGGGTCCAGAATGCAGCAGTCTGATTGGTCCTAGAACAATAGGGTCCAGAATGCAGCAGTCTGATTGGTCCTAGAACAATAGGATCCAAATTGCAGCAGTCTGGTTGGTCCTAGAACAATAGGGTCCAGAATGCAGCAGTCGGATTGGTCCTAGAACAATAGGGTCCAGAATGCAGCAGTCTGATTGGTCCTAGAACAATAGGATCCAAATTGCAGCAGTCTGATTGGTCCTAGAACAATAGGGTCCAGAATGCAGCAGTCTGATTGGTCCTAGAACAATAGGGTCCAGAATGCAGCAGTCTGATTGGTCCTAGAACAATAGGATCCAAATTGCAGCAGTCTGATTGGTCCTAGAACAATAGGGTCCAGAATGCAGCAGTCTGATTGGTCCTAGAACAATAGGGTCCAGAATGCAGCAGTCTGATTGGTCCACAGGAGCTACCCAATCCAGCTCCAGGTGGAAGTGAATCCACAACCTGATTGGCCTACAAGTGAGTCCCGGAATTAGCCAATCACGTGGGGCCCATTGTGTAAATAATGTATATAAAGCAGACATCCTGGGGGAACTTCCATTCCTCACTACTATGAGCTGAATAAAGAGCATGAAATCCATTCTCGACTCTGAGTATATTTCAGAACTCCTGGACCAGCGGATCTGGAATTTGTGACAAGGTAGAGTGTGTGTGTGTGTGTGTGTGTGTGTGTGTGATCAAATCTGATCAGAGCCCAAGCAGGTATTGTGTGAAGAGGTTGGATGACGATACTGAAAAATATTTGCACTGTGCAATGACAACACCACAAGCCCTCACTGTTTGTGCAAATCTGTAAAACTGGCATGAATTGTTCCCATTTCACAGATGGGGAGCAAATGACTTGCATATGGTCCTTTCTCTGGAGGCCGGGCTCTCCATCCCTCTGGGAACTGGCCACGAAGGATGCACCCTGCAGTAAGTGCCAACCCCTGCAGTGTGGCGTTTTGTCACCCCCTCCGGGAAGACCCCTGGGGCGGACCGAACCCCCCGCACCCCCCTTCCTATGCCCCTGAGTCCAAACACTTGGAGGGCCAGAGAGGCCCCAAGCGGTTCTTCTGTGGGATGGCGGTGTTTCAGCAAGGGGGAGGAAGGGGGCAGTTGGACCTTGGCACCCGCGCCCAGGAAAGGAGGAAGGGCAAAGGGGGCTCACCAATGCTCTGCCCCCCACACGCCGCCAGCAGCCTCCGGGCCTTCTCCTTTGCATCCGCGGGAAAGTTGGGGTCCTTCAAGAGGTCCGGGAACATGCAGAGGGCGCTGACCTGCCAGGGGAGAGCAAAGCTGAGAACCAGCCTCCGTGGTCCCCCAAACCCCGTCCCATTTCAGTCTAGTTTGCTGCACCCTCTCAGTCAGACTTGTGCCAAGCAGGTGCCCTCTGGGTCTTTGGGCTACAACTCCCACCATCCCCCATTAATCCAGTTTGATCAATGGAAACTCAGGGGAGTCAAATCTCCCCACAACCCCAGCCACTTTCCCCCTAAGCTTTTAACAAAGGCGGCATTTTTTCATCTCCGCCAAGCTAAGCAGTTGGCTCCTTACCTCTCTCGCCCTGACCTAGCCACTGTGATCCACGCGACGGTCACCTCCAGACTGGATTATTGTAACTCGCTCTACGTGGGGCTGCCCTTGAGACTGACCCAGAAACTCCAGCGGGTGCAGAATGCCGCAGCGAGACTCCTTATGGGGTCCTCGCTGCGGGATCACATTCCCCCAGTGCTATACCAGCTGCACTGGCTCCCGGTGGAGTACAGGATCAGGTTCAAGGTGCTGGTTTTGACCTTTAAAGCCCTATATGGCCTAGGACCCTCGTACCTATGGGACTGCTTCTCCTGGTCTACGGTCTACGGTCTTCAAACAAAAACATCTTGGAGGTCCCGGGCCATAGGGAGGTTAGGCTGGCCTCAACTAGAGCCAGGGCTTTTTCGGCCGTGGCCCCGATCTGGTGGAACGCTCTGTCACAAGAGACTAGGGCCCTGCGGGACTTGACATCTTTCCGCATGGCCTGCGAGACGGAGCTGTTCCACCAGGCCTTTGGCCAGGGCACAGTCTGACCCCCTCCTTTGGGAATCCTCACAGAACTCTAGCCCAATGGTTGCCATCAATTTGATTTGAATTAATTTTATAATGAAATGATTTTAGAACGTTGTATCATTTTACTGTTGGTAGCCGCTCTGAGCCTGGCTTTGGCTGGGGAGGGCGGGATATAAATAAAAAATTATTATTATTATTATTTTATTATTATTATTAACAGTTCTGGGCCAGGCAGAAATCCCACAGGTCTGGCCTCCTAGTCCTCCCCTCCCCTTCCCACCCAGGGCTGTCTCTGGTGTTCCACCCCCTGCACCCCTGACCTCAGCCCACCTGTGGCTGCCTCCATCGCCGCCCTCCCCTCGGACCGTACCTGGCGGAGGAAGGTGATGGGTTTCTGCCCCATTGCCTGGGCATCGCCGATGTTGGCTCTGATCACCTCCGTGAAGGGCTTCTTCACCCCCTGCAAAGAAGAGAAAATGTGCGGGTGTGGCTTTTGGCTCAGGGGGCAGCCCTCGGCCAGCGCCACCAATACCGTCCCACCCCAGAGTCAGCCGTGCATCAGCACTGAAGAGATCTTATCACACACACACACACAAATCTGTGGTGTGGCAGCTTTTGTAATATTGTGTCTAGTTCTGCTCAAAGAGGATATTATAGCTACATATCACCAGTTAAATTGGCAAAAATGTATAAAAATGAAAAGAAAGAGTGCTGTAAGTGTGAAGCAAAAGGTACATTTTATCACATGTGGTGGGATTGTAAAAAGGTAAAAGCTTATTGGGAAATGATATGTAATGAATTGGAGAAAATGTTGAAAATAACTTTTGTAAAATACAACAACCAGAAGCCTTTTTATTAGGTATTTTAAGCCAAGATATACCAAAAGAAAAGAGGACTATATTCATGTCCTATTCACTACAGCAGCGAGAATGTTGATTGCACAAAATTGGAAGACTGGAGAAATACCAACTAAAGAACAATGGCAAGAGAAGTTGATGAACTATGCAGAACTGGCGAAAATGACAGAAAGACTAAGAGAAAAAGGCGACAGAGACTTTGACTACTTGCACTCTGACGTGCTTTTGAACTGCTAGGTTGGCAGGAGCAGGGACCGAGCAACGGGAGCTCACCCCGTCGCGGGGATTCGAACCGCCGACCTTCTGATCGGCAAGTCCTAGGCTCTGTGGTTTAACCCTCAGCGCCACCCGCGTCCTCTTCCTTAGTTACTACAGTGAAATACTTTTGAGGCGGCAAAAGCTTTCCTTTTCTCCAGAAAACAAGTCCCACCGGAGAACCGCAGTTGGCAGCCTCATTGCGGAGCATCTCTCTCCGAAACCAGGAGAGCATCCTCTGCTTGGCTGGACGCCTGGAGGGCGAGGGGCCTCCTTGGGACTGAGGACCGGCAGCCCCCCTTCCTCACCCGAAAGGCTCCTTTTGTGCTTCCCCCGCCAGGGGTGTCGAGCCAAGAGGAAGAGCGGGGATCCCCATTCAGAGTCAAGCACCGTGCAGGTTGCCATGGCAGTGGGACAATACGCTGGGTGACCGCTCTCCTGCCCCGGCCAGCACAGTCCTGGCACATGGAGGAGGACGTGAGAGTCTTCAGGGGAAGGGGGACGCCAGCCAGGGGGGAGTGGACAGGGCTGTTGTGATGCCAGGAACAGAGAAGTATCCCCCAGGGAAGAGACCCTTCCAGCAACTCAGAATATAAGAAGAGCCTGCAGGATCAGGCCAAAGGAGGCCCAGCTAGTCCCGGTGGCTCCTGGTGGCGTATCTGGTCAGGTTCAAGGTGCTGGTCTTGATCTTTAAAGCCCTTTGTGGCTTAGGACCCTCGTATCTATGGGACCACCTCTCCTGGTCTGCCCCGCAGAGGACCTTAAGGTCCATGAATAACCATAGTTTAGAGGTCCCAGGCCCTAAGGAAGTCAGACTGTCCTCCACCAGGGCCAGGGCCTTCTCAGTGATGGCTCCGACCTGGAGGAATGCTCTGTCCCATGAGACCAGGGCCCTGCAGGATTTAACCTCCTTCCGTAGGGCCTGTAAGACAGAGCTATTCCGCCTGGCCTTTAATCTGAACTCAGCCTGATCTTTTATTTCCGTTCTCTTGCCTCCCCCTCCCCTTTTTATAATAATAATAATAATTTTTTATTTATACCCCGCCCTCCCCAGCCAAGGCCGGGCTCAGAGCGGCTTACAAGCAATAATAAAAACAAGATGAATGATTACAACTTAAAAACAAAAATAAAATACAACATTAAAATAATGGAACATTAAAATATTAAAATGTAGCCTCATTGCAGGAGAAGGAAAAGAAAAAAGAAAAGGGGGGGAGGGAATCAAATTGGCTCCAAGCCAAAGGCCAGGCGGAACAACTCTGTCTTACAGGCCCTGCGGAAAGAAATCAGATCCTGCAGGGCCCTGGTCTCATGAGACAGAGCGTTCCACCAAGTTGGGGCCAGTGCTGAAAAGGCCCTGGCTCTGGTTGAAGCCAATCTAACTTCCTTAGGGCCTGGGACCACTAGGGTGTTTTTATGAAGATCACTTGCTCTGGGATCCCACAGCTAATTCTCCCCTGGTCTTCTCACTGGCCCAAATAGGACCAATTCAGCCAGCTAGCCCTGGGGATTATGTAATGCTTATTTCCCCTAAATTGATTTCTGAATTTTACTGCTATTCATGTTTTCATACTGTATTTTATGCTGCTTTTACAATTAAGTGTTTTAGATTTGTTGTTAGCCACCCTGAGCCCGGATTTTGAACCGGGAAGGGCAGGGTATAAATAAAAAAATATTACTATTATTATTATTATTATTATTATTATTATTAGTCACAGTGGACCACCAGATGCGCCAAAGGGAATCCCGCAAGCCAGGATCCAAGCACAAGAGAAATATTCTCCTCTCCTGAATACTCCTGCAACTGGGATTCAGAAGCATCCCTGACTCCAACTGCAGAGCGACTCAAATCTTTTAGTGTGGCACCAGCTACACTTTGGAACTCCCTGCCAATGGACATCAAGCAGGTGCCTTTGCTGTCCTCTTTTCGGCACCTGTGGATGCGGGTGGCGCTGTGGGTTAAACCACAGAGCCTAGGACTTGCCGATCAGAAAGGTTGGCGGTTCGAATCCCCGCCACGGGGTGAGCTCCCATTGCTCGGTCCCTGCTCCTGCCAACCTAGCAGTTCAAAAGCATGTCAAAGTGCAAGTAGATAAATAGGTACCGCTCCAGCGGGAAAGTAAACGGCATTTCCATGCGCTGCTCTGGTTCGCCAGAAGTGGCTTAGTCATGCTGGCCACATGACCCGGAAGCTGTACGCTGGCTCCCTTGGCCAATAAAGCGAGATGAGCGCCGCAACCCCAGAGTCGGCCACGACTGGACCTAATGTTTGGGGTCCCTTTACCTTTTAAATGCCTTCTTGTTCTGACAAGGCTGTGTGGGTGCTTAGAAAGTTTTGATTTGATTCTGGCATGTTATTTTACCTTTCCAAAGGTTTTTTAATTATTGTTGTTCACGTTGCCGATTGGTAATTTTATTATTTGATCGTTTGAGTTGTGTATCGTTTACAGTGGGGCAGTCTATAAATTTTATGAATAAATAAATAAAACAAATCTGCTGGGGTGTGTGTGTGGAGGCCCAGGATCAGAGAGGCACAACTTTTACAGACACTTCCAAGCAAGCGACCTCCTTTCCCTGCAAGCCCCTCCCTCCATTTTCCTTGCGGCTATTTCTAGATTGTAAGTCCCTTGGGGCAGGGAGCTGCACAAAGCACCCTGTACATGGATGACTCTGTGTTCAGCAGCAGGAGGGCTCCCACATCCCCCCTGCAAGAGCCCAGAGACCAGAGGGATTGTGATTTCAGCGTAACAAAGGAATCCAGCCCTGACTTGACAGTGGACTTTGAGGACCATGAACTCAGCTAAGTTGCTGAAAGTGTTACCAGCTCCAGTTTGTGGAAGACCGGCTTAAACTAAGAAGCCCGATGAATTACATGAAGATGATGTACAGATGGTACACGACACCAGTGCAGTTAGGGAAAATGTATTAAACTAGTTCAAATATATGTTGGAATTGTAAGGAAAAGGGGGGACATTTTATCATATGTGGTGGGACTGTAATGTAATTTTAAAAAAATTGGGAAATGATATACAATGAATTGAATAAAATGTTCCATCTAACATTTGTTTAAAAACCTGAAGCATTTTTGTTAGGGATTGTAGGGAAAGATCTGCCCAAAAAGCTGAAAAACATCTTCATGTATGCGAAAACGGCCGCGAGAGTCCTAATTGCACAAGGATGGAAGACTGAAGAAACCCCAACTAAAGAATCATGGCAAGAACTGGCAAAACTGACATATAAGCTACGGGACAAGGATAACTGTGACTTTAAGGATGAATGGGAACCTTTCACAAAGTATCTGAAGGCGCAACAAAGCGAACTGGACTCCTTGGCTAGCTTTGAATAAACATTCACAAACTTTTCTATTGATGCTAATCAGCTAAACAGTTTGAGGATCTATACAACTGTGTAACATGCAGAAAACAGCATTCTTAGAGGAATCAAAGACTGGAACTGAGGGAAGCTGGGGTGGGGTGGGTGGGTTTTGTGTGGGAGGGTGGGGGGAGGGAGGGAGGAAAAATGGGGGAAAATAAGGATGATATGTTTCTGGATAATATGTTTTGTTTTAATTTTGAATAAAAAAGTTTTTTAAAAAAACCAAAAAACTAAGAAGCCGGGCATAACTTTTCAGGCGGACAGGACTTGGCTGGGCTCCAGACCTAGAACCACAGAATTCTAGAGCTGGAAGAGACCCAGAGGCCATTTAGTCCAACCCCGTGTGACGCAAGGAACCCTTCCTCCAACCACTAAGGCTGCCAGCCATCATCATCATCAACCCCTGAGAAACCAAGTGCACCAGATTCGCCTGTTGGGCTCCAGTCCTTTCTGGGTCAGAGGACTCTCACAAGCACAGGCGGCCTTGGTGCCCCCTTGATACCTGCCGCCACTGGGCTACCTCCAAGAGGTTTTTGGGAGCTGCAGCTGCTGCCCCACAGACCCTTTGGGAAGCCCACCCTCTTCCAAACCGGCAGCAGCAGCAGCCAGCTGTTGGCTGTGATCAGTCAAGCCCTCTGCAGCCTGAGCTCCTGAAGGAATGTGTCTACCTGCTGGGAGCGCTGCCCTCTTCTGAGCGCTGTGCAGAGGGTGAAAGTCACGTCTGTCTGGGAGGGTTGGGCAGACTCTGGCACCTTGGAAACTCCTGGGGCACCCAGGTCAGCTTGCAAATATCTTTTGGGATGCTGGAAAACCTTAGTTTAGTGGTTTCTTAAGAGGGGACAGCCGGGCTTTGTATTCTGGCTCTGTTCTCCAAGACACTTTGTCTAGCAGTTTATCACCTGTGTGAATCGTAGAATTGTAGGGTTGGAAGAGAACCAGGGGTCATCTAGTCCAACCCCCGGAAATGCAGGGTTCACAGCTAAAAATCCCTGTTCAACCCCTGTTTAAAAACCTCAGAGGAAGGAGGCGCCAGCACCAGTCAAACAGTTCTTACCGCCAGACACTTCCCTTCCTTATGTATGTAATTTCAAAGTTCTGTCTGCCACTCTGCACGTTTTGATAAAGGTGTCCAATACATGCATCAGTACAGATCGGTTCATCTGGAGCAACTGCCAGACCTGTCAGACAGAAACCCTATTTTCTTTCCAGCTGTTTTGTTTCATATCGTTTCGGGTTGCTTTTACTGGATTTACAGCCGTGTGAACGCTCCGTTCGAACGATGGTCTAGAAACATCGCAAACCGATAAAGGACCAAAGCGACTAGCTCAATCCCCAACTCAAGGCGAGAGAAGAGTCTTGCCAGTGGTGGGATGCTTCTCTGGCCTGATGCCACAGTGACGGACACATTCCTCTCTTAGAAGCATAGAACTGCAATGATTTGAAGGGAACCCCAAGGGCCATCTAGTCCAACCCCCTGCATTGCAGCAATCTCAGCTGAAGAATCCCTGGCAGGCAGACATCTGGGAAATCTTTAGACACCCCCATCGAAGGGGAGCCCGCCATCTTACCTGCTGAAGCTCCTTCTCCAGCTCGAGGGCTCGGGTGACAATGGGTCCCCGCACGGCATACTCCACCTTCTTGACCGAGGGGTTCAGGGACTCGAGGGTCAGCACCTTCTCCCGCCGAGCCAGACCGTTCTCCGCCATCCCTGGCTGGCTCACCTGGCGCTGAAAGGCCCTGCGAAGCAAGAAGGGAGCAGGGCTGAGGGTCGGGCTCAGGAACGCCTCCGTCCAGAGCCTGGCACTGGGGAGAAGGCGGAGGCCCAGGACGGCCCTGGCCAGCCCATGCCTTGGCATCGCCCTTCAGGGGAACATTGGCCCGGACTGCTTCTGCGGCTGGGAGTAAAGTCCTGGCTGAGATCTGGGCAGGGGCGGGGCAGGAGCTGGGCAGGTGGCAAAGGTCTGCGCATTCCCAAGCAGGGAAAAATCAAAAGGGTGCCAGGCTGGAGGTGGAAAGGAGGCTCCAGCTCTCCTCTGCAATCCAGGGCTGGGGGCTGGCTGCCTGCCTTGCAACTGGGGGGTCACTGACTGCCTTCCCTGCCCCAGGGGAGAAGGGCACCTACCCAGCTCAGCTACCAGGCAGGGGAAGAGGCAGGCTGGTTCCCACACAGGAGGTGTAAGCGCAGCTCCTTTTAATCGAGGGCAAGAGGGAGGAGACTCTGGTCTGCAAGGAAGAAAGAGCCACATTGTGGAGCAGGACTGAAAGGGACCTGCCATCTCGCCTTCGGGAACAAAGGCAGAAAGCAAACTCTCTCCCCGCACCCTCCTGCCTCCCACAGAGACTTTCACTGGGCCTGCCTGGGCAGGGTGCCATTATGGGATAGAGAGGGGTTGGGAGGAGAAGCTCAGACAGAGGGGTAAGAATGCTCAGGGGCCCGTTGGGGAGCAGAGTGGGGCCCTGTCATTTCACGGGTCAGGGTTATGTAAGAGGGACAGCGAAGGATTGACACGAAAATTGCTCCTGATGAATTAGGAAGAATTTTGACACCACGAGCTGCTTGCAGAATTGAGGGTTCTGTGGACCCGTTTGCCCGACGTGCATCAGCCAGCCTCGTTTGGCCCGTCCAGGATTTGAGCACGCCCAGAGCTCAATAGTCGGAAGCCCCCAGGTTGGCGTCTTGACCAGAGTGGGTGACTGCTGCCAGCCCCTCTCTTCGTGACATTTATATCCCACCTCCTCTCCAAGTTGCCAAGGCAGAGTCCTCCCCTCCTTGGTTTAATTTCTGCGTACGCTTTGGGCAAGCAAATCACAATGGACGCTCAGTAAATGGGTCGTATGGGGTGGCCCACAAAGTCTGGTGCTTTGCTGGTGTCGCGGCTTTGTTGCGCCATGGCAAAAGAACTTGAATCCGTTTTAAATGCACAAATGTAAAGGTGAACTCCTCCTGCAAAATACCGACAGACTGGAGGCAACCTGGTTATAAGCAGCTTCCCATTCCCCCAGTTTCTGCATAAACGTCAACTGTCCCCTTTCTCCCGGGGCAGCCGCGGAAACGATTCATCCATCACGTTTTCTGCCAGTGTCCCAGCAAATCCTGGTTTTTCCAAGCGGGAAGAGGCAGCTCTAGGGGAGCTCACCTGGCACCCAAGCAAAAGGCACTCATTCTATGACTGGGCATTCTGGCAGGAGACAGCTGACCCGCGCCAGAGCGACTGACCAAAAAACAAGCACCTGATTTGGATCCTCCAGATGTTGGAGGATCTGTTTTCTGCCGGCATCCCTGTGCCCAGTGATGGAGCTACATTTCTGGTGCGCTGAAGCCTGAACGGCTTCACAAATGGCAATGAGATCTGGGTAAGCCCTGTTATCTTCTTCAAGTAATAATAATACTAATAACAATTTATTATTTATACTCCGTCCATCTGGCTGGGATTCCTCAGAGACTGGGTGGCTTCCAACACAATATTAAAATACAGTAATGCATCAAACATTAAAAGCTTCCCTAAACAGGGCTGCCTTCAGATGTCTTCTAAATGTCAGGTAGTTGTTTTTCTCTTTGACATCTGGTGGGAGAGTGTTCCACAGGGCAGGTGCCACCACTGAGAAGGCCCTCTGCCTGGTTCCCTGTAACTTGGCCTCTCGCAGGGAGGGAACCGCCAGAAGGCCCTCGGAGCTGGACCTCAGTGTCCGGGCTGAACGATGGGGGTGGAGACGCTCCTTCAGGTATACTGGGCCGAGGCCGTTTAGGGCTTTAAAGGTCAGCACCAACACTTTGAATTGTGCACGGAAACGTACTGGGAGCCAATGTAGGTCTTTCAAGACTGGTGTTATATGGTCTCGGCGGCCGCCCCCAGTCACCAGTCTAGCTGCCGCATTCAGGATTTGTTGTAGTTTCCAGGTCACCTTCAAAGGTAGCCCCACATAGAGTGCATTGCAGTAGTCCAAGCAGGAGACAACCAGAGCATGAGACAGTCTGCGGGCAGATAGGGTTTCATCCTGCGTACCAGATGGAGCTGGTAGACAGCCGCCCTGGACACAGAATTGACTAGGGGGTTGCTCCATGACAGCACCTAACAGAACCAGGCAGAGGGCCTTCTCGGTGGTTGCACCAGCCCTGTAGAATGCTCTGCCATCAGATATCAAGGAAATAAACAACTATCTGACTTTTAGAAGGCAGCCCGGCTTAGGGAAAATTTTAATTTTCAGAATGCTGCGACGAGGCTCCTTACGGGGTCCTTGCCGCAAGATCACATTCATCCAGTGCTTTACCAATTGCACTGGCCCTGGTGGAGTACAGGGTCAGGTTTAAGGTGCTGGTTTTGTGACCTTTAAAGCCCTATGCTGCCTAGGACCCTCATACCTACGGGACCGCCTCTCCTGGTATGTCCCACGGAGGACCTTACGGTCTTCAACAAAAACATCTTGGAGATCCCGGGCCACAGGGAGGTTAGATTGGTCTCAACTAGGGCCAGGGCCTTTTCAGTACTGGCCCCGAACTTGGTGGAATGCTCTGTCACAAGAAACTAGAGCCCTGCGGAACTTGACATCTTTCCGCAGGGCCTGCAAGACAGAGCTGTTCCACCAGGACTTTGGTTTGGACTCTGCCTGACTCTCATGTTTCCCTCCCCTTATGGTTTTGACTTTTAAAATGAGGCTGCATTTTAAATTGCATTTTAACCTGTATTTTAAATTGGTCCCCCCCCCTTATTATGTTTTTAATGTAATTTTACTGGTGTTAGCCACCCTGAGCCCAGCTCTGGTCGGGAAGGGCAGGGTATAAATAAATTATTATTATTATTATTATTATTATTATTATTATTAATGTGTGAAGTTTTATTCTGTTTTTAATCTGTTGGCAGCTGCCCAGAGGGGCTGGGGAAACCCAACCGGATGGGCGGAATATAAATAAATTATTATTATTATTATTATTATTATTATTATTATTATTATTACTACTACTACTACCTGGGAATTTCAGGGCCCCTTTGGAGATTGTCACCCTTCCCCTCACCTGCCATTGCTCCATGCTCAGGTGGCCCCCAGCGCCCTTCTCATTCCGCCTTGGGGCTGAGGACCCTCATCCTGCCCTCGCCAGAGCCTGAACTTGGGTCCCAGCAACTCCAGGGGGTTCTCTTGCCTTGTGAGCGACAGAGCAGAACCTTCCGGAACAGAACATCGGGAGAATTCTCAGGGTCAGTGCAAATGGCAAGAGGCGGCCCAGGAAGGCAAAGACCCCACGCCTCCTCTGGGGCATCCGTTCCAATTCGACAGCGCCTGCGACATTTATTTATCCATTTATGAAAATTCTACTCTGCTTTCCTGGGACGCGGGTGGCACTGTGGGTTAAACCACAGAGCCTAGGGCTTGCCAATCAGAAGGTCAGCGGTTCGAATCCCTGCTGCTCTGGTTTGCCAGAAGTGGCTTAGTCATGCTAGCCACGTGACCCGGAAGCTGTACGCCAGCTCCCTCGGCCAATAAAGTGAGATGAGCGCCGCAACCCCAGAGTCGGCCACGACTGGACCTAATGGTCAAGGATCCCTTTACCTTCACCTTTACTCTGCTTTCCTTAGACCACAGGAAGAGTCCTGATGGATCAGGACTATGGCCCATTGTCATGGGCTGGTTGGACGCAGAGAGGAATGGTGGGAGGCACCGGGTCGGGAGCCCCCCCAGGGAAGAAAGCTCAGAGCCCAGGGACTGGGGTGCGTGGGTCAATTTGTGGTCAGAGGGAGAAGAGGAAGAAGATGGGGAGGAAGAGGTGTCAGGTGTGGGATGTGATCCACTGGGAGCAGTCATGTGCAATATTCCTTGTCTTCCTAGACTGGACATGCGTGGGAATGTTTGGTCCAGCCAGTCAAAACTTCCTCTTCCTCCTGACTGGAGCATCTTTCCTCTTGCATGTGACCAGAGGTGGGCACGACCTTACCTGTCCAGGTAACAAAAGGACAAAGCATGCTGCCACCCTCTATCATTTCCCCCCGCTTCCTTCATCGTTTGCCCAGCTTCTTATCTTGGAGTGACCTGATAGCTTCTCAGCTAGCAGAAGCACTGGGATTACCTCCTCATGGGGTAGATCCACATGTATATATTTGTAACTAAGTCTGCCTTCATGAATCCGACTGTGAACTGATGTGAGTAAACTTCTTTTATTGACTTTGAATAAGATTGCCGTGTGTTTATTCTTTCAAGAGGGACTAAAGGGAATTTACCAGGAACTATCAAAACCTCTCCATTCTGAAGGAAATCAGCCCTGAGTGCTCACTGGAAGGACAGATTGTGAAGCTGAGGCTCCAAGACTTTGGCCACCTCCTGAGAAGAGAAGACTCCCTGGAAAAGACCCTGATGTTGGGAAAGATGGAGGGCATGAGGAGAAGGGGACGACGGAGGACGAGATGGTGGGACAGTGTTCTTGAAGCTACCAGCATGAGGGAGGCAGTGGAAGACAGGAGTGCCTGGCGTGCTCTGGTCCATGGGGTCATGAAGAGGCGGACATGACTAAATGACTAAACAACAACAACCAGGAACTATACAATTCAATCTGAGACAGACTGAATTGTATAATAGTGAGAGGCTCACAAGAGCCTGCAACCAGCTATCTGCTGTGCGTGAGAAGGGGAATGTAAACTGTGCTAAGTAAAGAAATTTGCTAGCGCAAGTTAGGAAGGATATTAATAAACAATATATCCTCTCCTGTCACTCTGAACATTCCCACATCCTGAAGATTCTGGGTGCTGATGCTGGTCCTAAGTCTGTGGCTCTGAAACTGTGACCTAACCTGTCCAGGTAATGAAAGGACGAGTCACGCAGCACTCTCTCCCTCCTTTTCCATCTTTGTTTCTTCCTGTGAACTGCCGGACTGCTAACTGCAGTCACTGGGTCAACCCACATATGGGGTAAACCTGTTTGTCTATGTTTGTAACTTTAAACCTTAAGTCTGCCTTCAGGGATCACACTGTGTTCTGCCTGATCGTGAGCAAACTTTCTTTTTGTTACTTATGAATAACACTGTGGTGTCTTTATTCTTTTAGGAGGGATTCAAGGAATATATTAGAACACATTTCAGTCTGGACAAGCCAGTTTGAATTACGTATTGTCTTT